AATATTTATAATGAATTTTATAAATTTTTTGGATTTTTTTTGTAAGCTTTATTCTGACCGATTCACCCGATTCCCGATCCGGATCGCCGATTCGTCGATCCAGATCGGTTTTTTGGGTGCCCGATCCGGGTCACCGATCCGTTTTTTAAACCATTGGTTTTGACCATTAAAAAACAGATTTAAAAAGTAAAAAAATCTTTAGAAATTTGGAGTGGCTGGTTCGGCCAACCTTATTCTCAGTAATCCACCCAACACAAAGTTGAAACATTGGGCGGCAAAAGAATTGAGAGTTTTGTAGTATCTATTTTAAAAAGCCAAAGGCTCTTTTGGCTTTTCTGCCATTCAATATCACCTACATTTCTTAGTTTTTTACCAAATTATGTTAAGTTATTATATTCCCCAATTGGCCTCTCTCTCTTTCAAAGTTACTTTTACTTTTTATTATCATCATTATAGCTTTTTTTAACTATTTGGGGTCGACCACATTAATCTTAATACGCTATTCTGCTCTATCAAGATCATATCCTCAGTGAACCCATAAGTCTCATTGCTTTCAACTATGTCTGTTTAGGCATATCTTTTGCTCTTTTTCAGCCTTCTACTTACTAACTTGCACGTCTAAATTGGATTGTACTGAGTACGCATTGCACATGACCAGCTCATCTAATTTTACTATTTTGTTTTATCACCTATTGGAGCTACATCTAAGTTCTCCTAAATGTATTCATTGCGAATTATATCCTTCTTGTCTTGCCACTAGTGTGAAAGCAAAATTATTTTGTACGTTAAGCATTTTTTTTCAAAATAAAAAAGTATTTGAAAAAGTTTTTCGCTGGACTACAACTTTCCCATGTTTGTTTCTACGAAAGAGGAAAGGACTATGCCAATTGGGAAAGCTCCTTCTCAACTTTTACATTTAAGACGTGAAAAAACGGTGATGCCTCTCTTTAGGTTTAGAAGCGCATTCCCAAAACTGATATGAAGGCTCACGTCGTGAACAAACTTTCTCGGGCCCTCAGAAAGTGCCCCCACAAGAAACAGGCTACACCCGTACAATCACTACATTTACAAAATGAATTCATAGAACACACTTGAACTAGAAGGGGGACTAAAATCATGTCCCTTTTGTTATCCGCTTCTCTTCCTCTCTTTTCAATCTAACATTAGAATCTAACCACCCTCAAATAGTAGGAAAAAAAGCTTTAATGATGATGTCATATTAAATTCTTGTATGCAGTTTGCAAAACAAATAATTCCCCTATATATCCCACAAGCCATCAGTTGTTCGTCGCCCAAGGTAGATGAGAAAATCAAAGAGCACCTCATCCCCACCGTCCAATGACGAGATGGAGAGCAGATAACTGGATATGTAGCATATGATCTTCAAAGCCATGCTCAATATACTTTCCATTTTCGTCATTGCAAAAGCCTTTTAGATCAAGTTTGAATTATGGTTATCAGGATCAAATTGGTCACTGACATAGTGAAGGGTCTGATCAAACTAAATTTGGTTTAACTACCAATTAAATAGGTTCAACCAAATTCTAAATAAATATAATAAAATAAATTAATATTTTAAAGTATGAATATATTAGTAAAAAAAAATTTGTTTAACAGGTAAAGCACGCTAACACCATCACACAAGCTAAAACCAATCAAATACTGATTTCACCAATTTTTTACCAAACTTATGGTTTGAATGATTGTTCCTTCTCACCCTAAACCAGCTTCCTCTGTCGGCAATTATCCCTTTCTTCTCTCTAGAAGCTAAGAGAATTTGATTCTCTGATACACTCCTTCCCTCTGTATACGACCGAAAAGTACTGAGACGTGACTGAAAAGAATTGAGACGTGGCATCAATTTGAGAACTTTTAGCTTGACTTTTATAATAATAATAATAATAATAATAATAATAATAATAATAATAATAATAATAATAATAATAATAATAGTAATAATAGTAGTAATATTAATAATAATAGTAATAATAATATTAATAATAATATCTCAAAAAAACTTAAAAAATATCAAGAGTACGTTTAAGATTAAGTTAGATAAAATATATCCAAATGAGATCTAAAAAAATAGTAAGATTTTGAAAAATCAATTTCCGCATAAGGGTACTTAGATATAATCCAAAATAGATAGAAAAATATAAAAATAAGTATTTATGACCAAAATATTTCTCAATCTTTTTCAAAGCAATAGAAAATATTAAAAACTATTATAACAAATTTCTGATTTTCTTTTTTTATAATTTATTTATTTATTTTTTAAAACTAAGGAGATTAACCAGTTGACCACCCTATCTACTGGCCACGGCCAGTTCCGAGTAACCGAATACGCAGGCTGGTTCCAGGTTTTTTTTGGGTAATTACTGGGTCGAGGTTGACCCGGCCTGTTTTACAAACAGTGACATTGACTCAAGGATCTTAACAATTCAAGACATTATTTTTCTCCATCACTTCAATCATCTTCACCCTATACTTCAGAGCCATCTCACCAATCCCACAAGTCAACTCATGCAAGGGGGTAAGTCATTGATTCCTCGTTTTAAATCAATGGGTACCATCAATGTGACTTTTGATGCCCTAATATTCGCACTCAGCTTAGAAGACTCTAAAAATGGTCCCACGGATACATCAAACCGAACCCATTTCAGTAGTCAAATATCAAAAGCAGTAGATAAACAAACAAAAAATACTGTAATAAATAATAATTAAAACAAACAGGCGTGTGATTTTTATAAGGCAACCTTCAATAATCAAAGCACTTCCAAACTTAGCCGGGTGATACAATTTTGATACCGAAATTTTTTTATCACTAATTAAAAAAAACGAGAAAATAGATGACCCAGATAATACATCACAAGAAAAACTATTTTTAAGAATTAAAAATCTCTTTTTCTCTCCATATCTATGCATCTCAAGGAATTAGATTGTTTTCCAACATCAAAACAATCATTTTGGAAAGATTTTAGATGTGCACCTTAATTCTACATTTCAAAGTGTCAACTTTGTATAAAACTTTTTCCAAACAATATATATATAATAAAACCATTCATGTTTTTATATAAAGAGGGCATAATCATTATCAACCGTTAGAGGCGAAATTGAGAATAGTTTAAAAACCCAAAATAGAACTTCTCAAATGTTATGTTACATCAAACTATCTAATGTCAAATCCAATGGCTAAGAGTAATCAATACCTCCATCTACTAAAACTAAAGTCTTACATTATACAATCCTATTAAGAATTCACAAGAACTGGATCAGAATGGGAAACGAGTAATTGCGGCAATGAGACACGGGATTCACTGATTCCCATCTACTCTTCTGCTACTTCCATATTAAACTCGATCTCACGTGCATTTGTCCGGTCCGGTAACTTGGGATCCCAATCCAATTTTTGAGGGAAAACGTTTATCTAAAGTTGCAACCTTAAAATACAAAATTACAGATGCACCTAAAAATTCCATCAGCAAAAGTATTAGTGTAAAAAAATCCTCTAATTGTTCGAGATGATCAAATATCAAAAAGACAAAACTGAATCTTAAAAATAGTACATCTTACAATACATTATTTAGATAATCCATTTTCAAGATTTTCATATGTTTATAGATCTACTTGATTTTAACCATTTTTGAAATTTAAAATTTCATAATTAGATATGAAAATAAATTTTTAGTTAATACTTAAAAACTTTTTTCACCTTAATTGGCTTGTTTAAGATTGCAACCTAATAAAAACCACACCCATTTTTGAATTACTGGCAGTAAATATGCAAAGTGCATTCACGCCTTCGAACCACAAATAATGACAACGCTCAAAGTCGTTATATCCCTTCAAAATTCAGATACTTGGGGGGACACCAAAATTTCTGCTCAGGCAATCTCTCTCTCTGGCGACCACAATTACTGGTCATGGTTTCAGGCAACTCTCTCTCTCACACACACAAACATGCAGGCCGCGAGAATACGAGATAGCATAACTGCAAGAGCAAGATTCAAGCCCCTAAGCTCCCACTGCAAGTAAAAGCCCTGCAAAGTCTTCCATATGATGACAACTCGAAAGGCAAGTACAAGCTTCAAGAAAGGATCTTCAACATAGAAGCAAGAAAATGAACCATTCATCCATGAGAGAGAAAATGAGAGAAGGCACCCATCCATGGAGAGAGCGAGATAGAGAGCAGCAGGCATATAATACAATCTCCACGCGAGAGGATAGAGAGATAGACATCCATCCAAAGAAGAGAGAGACATACATCCATGAAAGCCAAGATAATACATGATATAGTCTTCACAGTAACAACAGGTGTAGCTAGCATAACATAATAGTCACAATGAAGAGACAAGTTTCGAGTTGGGTTCACAGGCCAAGGCCTACAGTGCGACCATCTCGGCGCCTGAGGCCTGCAGTGTATTGTTTCTCGAGGTCGAGCTGCACCTCCCGCTGCCTCTCTTCGTCCCCCCTCGTTCCCTCTGCTGGTGGCTTCACATCCCCTTTCACACCCTACAATGTACGAAGGCACACTCAGACTCTGAAACGGTGTTAGTAAAGAGTCGAGAAAAAATCACAAATATTCTTCTGCCGTTTAAAGCATCATGTTACCACACCCCCCAAAAAACGAAATATATGCAAATAACAATGAGAGTTGAGAACATATGATATTGGAATTACTTTTTCCTTTCTTTTTCTAACCCTTTATTATGAAACAGAATGACAAAGAAAGTGGGGATTACCATGAGTTTATTGAACTTCTCTTGTCTCTCCCGGTCTGAGAACATTGCAGTATCCCAACGGGTGCCAGACTGTGAAATGAACAAAAAGAAACAAACAGATGACGTAAATTAGAAACTATTCTCACTCGTTTGTTAATAAGCAAGAAAGTAGACTCAGATTCTATAAGCCATATTACTGTCAAAGAAAGCCAAACAGTATGAAATTCATCAGAATTTAGAGTTTAAGAAATTTTTCAAGTAAATATGAAATGCTCCTGCTTTCTGGTAAAAGGCTTAGTTTGTTGCAATTTAAACAAATGTCTAATTATAAAAAAAAAAAGGCAAATTTCTTTAAGAAACAGATAATTTGCTAGAACCAGAGCATTCATTAACGCCGAGAGAGAGAGACAGAGAGAGAGAGAGAGAGCTGGGGTTCCTCTGACTTTACCTCCTCTGCAGCAGAGGTCTTTTTGTTCCCCCACAGAAGCTTCTTCTTTTCATCAGTGGACAGATAACTACCACCTACTAGGTTCCTATTAACTGCAGGCACATGGAACAATTTCATCTCAACATAAGCAAGGATAGTGCAACTTATCAGTAAAACAACTAAAAAAAATCCAAATATATTCTGCTCACATTTACATATGCTTAATTTGTAATAAGGGTCTGACAAAAACTGAGTATAGTCCACCATATCTAATCCACATATATTGAGCACCAGTTAAGGGTAGGGATGTGCCAATGTGTCAAGCAATTAGAGGAGAACCCTCTTGATAGAGAGTTTAGCTTACTACAGCTATTGAGAAAGAGTATGGAAAGAACAAACAAAAAGACTTACAAAATTTGGTGAAAACCGGCCGGCCTGCACCAACCAGTTCATACTGGTTTTGACCAGTTCGCTGCCCACCCTGGATCAAGACCCTTGACTGGTTGAGGAACCGACTCAATGGTTCCCAGACTGAAGCAGCCGGTCCAGACCAGTCTTAATAGCATTTGTATTTAAGATAAGGTCTTACTTAGAATGGATTCAAACATTAAAAAGATTTGAGTTTGTATTTGAGATATTTTATAGGAGAGAGGCATCCAAATCTAACACTCCTAATTTAGAGGAGATAACTAGTTCTATTACGGAGATTGAAAGAAGCCAACAGAGAGAGACCTGTGCTGTATGTTCAAATAGAAGTTTTAGTTTCTTTTTTCCTTTTTTTTTCCTTTTCTGTTTGGACTGTAGTTATGGAGATCCACCAACCAAAGGGATTATTTCCACTCCAGATTTCCAATCCTGCCCCCAGGGAAGGGGATCTCACTCCTCCGGAATTCTTAAAATTTGGAATCTTAATCCTTGTTCCTTCCTATTAGGGACCGAGGTTCTGAGTTCCATGGAATCCAGATTCCTGAGCTTTATAGTTTAGTATAGTAATACAATATAGTGCAGCGATGATGTACAATATAGTAGTATACTCAAGCAGTCTGGTATAGTATAGTAGTGAATGCCATATAGCATGGTGCACATTATACATTTGTATACAATACGTTTAAATATAGTAACATATAGTATAGTATAGTAGAATATAGTATACATGCCATATAGCATGGTGTCTATTATACATTTGTATACGATTCGTTTAAATATAGTAGCATATAGTACAGTATTGTAGAATAGAGTATATGGCATAGTACCATAGTAGAGAACAGTGTAGTATATTAGTAGCATATATTATACTACGATACTAATTATCAGTGGCCTCGATTTTTAACCAAATGGATCTTGATCCATTATAATTTATCATTCAATGCCAAGTAAGTTTGGATCGAGCTACCCAACAAAATGGTATCGAGATCCCTAGATTTCAGGGTAAACAGATTACAGACCACATATTCAACCATAGGGAGCTTTCTTCTGGTCACGATCCTGCAGTGCCCATCCTGACCCCATATCTAATTCAATGCTGATCCCAGCACCGGGACTGTTCTCTCTCTGTTCTTATTTGTTTCTTTGAGGTGGATATTGAGTATTGAATAGGATTTTCCATTTGAGCTGAGATGACCAGCATCGAACATCGAGAAATAGTGGAGACCAACATGTTATACATATCTACAAACAATATATTATACAATTTTGTGTTATATGTAGTACCAAGATATTCATCATATAATTACATGCCATGGTGGATTAATAAGGGTGAAGAGCTCCAAATGGGTAGAAGCAACTGTGCATAGGGAGCCCATAAGATAGCAGAAAGAGTTTCATTGCAAACATTAGAGATAGGATATTCAGTTAATGCTGCTAAGTGGACATCAAAAGAATCCCAAATCTAGTGGAGACCAGCTGATATTATCAAGAAAAGGCTAAATGCCCTAGGCATAAATCACATGACAGACTTAGGGAGTTGGAAATCATAATGGAATTCGAACACGACACCAACAGGGTCGAGCTGATGGGAATGGCAGTGGTAAAAATTTAGTCATAGGTTTCTTGGTTTGGTTTGCCTTTGCTTATTGGCATTCACCGCTCTTTTTGGTGGGTGTTTTAATTAGCTTTCATTGTATGGGCACTTTTATCCCACATTGTTGAGAGAAAAGAGGGTTTCAGGTTTCTCCTCTTGAACACTATTAAAAGGGGGCGACCATTCTCCTCTAATTGTACATTGTACAGTGAAGAATAAAAGAAATATTTCTTCCAAAAAATAGGCTGAGAAATGTAATTTACCATTACTTCTCTCTCTCTCTCTCTCTC